ATATATATATATATATATATATATATATATATATATATATATACATACGTACTATATCGTGTACAAAAATTGTGAAAAGAAAAATTAAACATGTTGCTTAAATGATTAGGGAGGATCGAATGCAGGGCAGAGTATACACATATACTTTCTTGAATTAAGTTAATATTTAATATCGTATAAGATTCAGTTTGGAAAATAGATGGGAAGAATGAGACCGTGGTGGAGAGCCAGATATGATCCTGATAGCCTTTGTTTTTTGAAGAATTTCAATTTTGTTGACGTTAAATCGAAGAGAATACGAAGAACATTACAGGGAATACATGAGGAAAGTCCAGAAATGATTGAACATTGGAATAGTAAACCATTGTATCATTAGCATAGAGAAGAAATTGTATTATATATTATATTTGAATTCAAAATTCAGCCTCTGCTACATACACAGGTGGTCGTTCAGGAAATTAGGTGAAAATGGCCACAGGAACACTGAAGTTTAATACCGTTAATGTTCTGAAAATCTTTGTACATTTAAACATTCTACCACTTTTATTATATCTAAATCATTTTAATTAATTTAATAGATATGAGAGTGCGATTTCCAAGCGTGAGCTCCGGGGTCTTCGGTTGGCAAATTCGTCGCCACTGACTATATTAGATGCCTATTTAAAAACAAATATTAATTCACCAAAGTTCGTCCAATATTTGTAGCCTGCCCGACCAGGAGCCCTGGGCGGCCCTCAGCCAAATTGCCCGCTTCGACTGTTTATCCCCTCCCTAGTTGTGTCGGGCAGATTCCAACGCCATCACTGTGTTGTTTTGTTTATTATAGAAAGCTTAATGAGAATGCTTAAAGAGACTTGCGTGCTTATAGCATACATAGTTGTTGGGGAAAAAATTAATCATTTTTATTTTTTTTTCTCTTTCATCGTATTTGACAACACTGGCATTCGATAAAAAAAATATTGATATTTTGGTTAAATTTGTTCATTCATTCATTCGTAGTCTTAATCGTATCATGGGCGATACTAGATTTGCCTAAGAACTCGTACTACTCGAGAGAACAAAATACACCATAAATTTATATTTATACAGTATATTTATTGCGTCAAAACCATGCAATGCCATATATATGTGCCAAGGTACAGAACTAGCATTATGAAGATGCACACGCCCCACCGGCGTTTAAGCATCTAACTAGAGCGTCTTCTACGACTGGCGATCCGAGACATCTGTCGCAGGTTTCTTGAACTGGACACTTGCCGCAGACAGGTCTACATTTATTAACGGTTAACTTCTTTGACTGGAGGCAATCTGCACATATTTGAAGTCGCCTTGCTCCTACATCTTTTAACTTTGAACAGTCACCAGAATTTCCCTTGCAATCGACTAGTACTTTATAGGGAATCGTGCAACTGTAAAAAAAAAAAAAGTATATACATTAAGGATCTATCAAAGATGAACACACTATGGTGGCGGTACCAGCGGGGTCCGACCGTCGGAGGGGCGAACTCCGTCGTTGTCGAACCATATTTTTCAAACATTTGTGGCGTCTGAAAGCAGAGTAACCTCTCCGTGAACTCTACCAGGGAATTTATTGGAACTGTCTCTGGTCAACCCTGTGGACTGTAATTGCATACTACAAATATTCCTTACGGATCGGCAGCTTTCTCCAAGATCTTCTCCAAAAGGCTATAGATCTCGTCGTCTGTGCTATTCACGATCAAAATGCAAGCAGCAAGGACACAGAAAAGAACGGCACGCATATTGGATGATGATCAGGATGTTTTGTGGAAACACAGCAAAACAAACAAACTGGAAACGATGAACTTTCAGTCGTAGTTTATATTGGCAAGAAATTTGAATATTGATGACACAATGTGCGCTTGTTTATGCATTTAGGTGAGTATTTAAGTTAAATCTGAACAGAATTATAGTAAAAGAGGGCGCCAAAAGAAGATACTAAAATCAATCGTAGGAGGATCGGGGTAACCATCATAAGGATTATGGCAAAAGGCCGATATATGCAATACTGGTGTACCACAAAACCCAACAAACTTTAGCAAACCTAAATGGAACCTGACAGGTCTATTGTATAACGGAAGAAAAGGAGAACTAAAAAGAAACTGGTAATTGCAGCTAAAATCCACAGAATGTGTACAAAAATTATGTACTCAGTTACAAAACTCAAAACACTCCATATCCATATACCATAGTCCATATATTTGATTCATAATCTACAAATTGAATTAGCATAATTACTTCACTCACCCAGGAGGTAAATGACAATAGGTAATGGTTAACTGCTGTGACAGTTACAAAACCCCTGAAACCGGGAACTATAATTGCAGAATAAACCTTAAAAAAACTACGGAAAGTCGATGATAACGGAATGTAGGAAAGCAATAATAATATTATCACTTTCTACGAACAATATTGATTAGAGTTAAGGTTCATTCCATGTGAAATTTAATCAAAGGCCGGGAACCAATAATAATTATAGTGTCTATTCGCGGAGGATTATAAAGATCAAGGGTACATTTGAGATGATAATATAGTTGAACAATTTAAGTGACAGGCCTAGTTAAACGAAAAAACGGGAGCCAATCCATGTTGGGTTATGGCAATATCAGGTCTGCTTATATGCAAGTCAATAACATCATCCCGACCATTGGTGGAAAAGTGCGAGTATATTTGGGCAGGATGCAGGGGGTGGGAGATGCAGACGGTGTTATCCCACCTCCTAAATTGTATTAAGAAAAATAATTGTTGTATTTGCATTGTTGATATAAATTACCGTTAAGATTTTAAAGGTATGAGAGTGCATTTTCTGGGCACCTAGAAGTCCATATTCTCAAAATTTTCAAACCTCCGCCCCAAACAGTGCTGCGGTGGCATGTCTCTCACTCACCCACTACCGCCAAATCCAGCATCCGCCCAAGGAGCACGTTGTTCTTAAGTAGAGAAACTCAACAAATGATTGCATTCAGGACAAGGCTACATTCTGAGACTTAATGATGCATTTTTAGAAAAAAGAAATCTTACCAAGACAAACATTTATGGATAACTACACATAGAGCAGTGGCGTAACGCTTATGCACTACTCATGCGGCGGTCCGCAGGGCCCCGAAGTGGCCCTACCCATAGGTTCCTCGATCCAGCACCCTGACCAAAAAGGACTTTGTTGATAACTAACACCATAATGTGTCTGAAATCGACTGTAGAATATATATCATATTATAACGATTAAAGTGAGGGCCCCCTCTCGGGCAAGGACCCCACCAAATTTGTCAAAAAAAAAAAAAATGACAAAGAGAAAATTATATTCACAATTTTAAGCCCGTGTGAGTGCCATTTCATGTGCCATAATAATACATTTTCTTATCTCTGCCCCACAAGGGCGCAGGAAACACCATATAATGTGTCAAATCGACTGTAGGAAATATATTATATGCCTATCCAGTGGCGGAATAAAGAGTGAGGGGAGGGGTAAAGAGTGAGGGGAGGGTGGGCTGCCGGCCTGGAGCTGCCGGCCCGGGGCCCCACTAAAAACTGGAGAAAAAAGAAAATTATATTCACAATTTTATGTCTGTGAAGTGCCATTTCCAGCCATCTAAAGGTGCCATATTCATAAATTTTCTTACCTCAGTCCCAACCATAGTGGGTCTGAGGTGGTATAGACTCAACTGTGAAAGTCCCTCCCTGGCCTCAATTTTATGGATCCATATTATATGATTTATTCTTCGTTAAAAACATTTAGAATAACAATGCACATCTAAAATCTCACGATGGAATTGGTGACTGGGACCCAAAAAGGGCGCCCAGTTTCGCCACTGATTATTATTATTATTAGAATGCAATTTATAATACTCATCAACTCTCATACAACATTTGTATGGCTGTGGCTATGGCAGCTCAAGATGGCCGAATGTGGCATACCTAGCTAATACTTCATTTTGTCTTATCCCTGTTTGTAAGTATTTTAATTTTTTTTATCATCCATTGGAATCGCCCCGCCTGGAAGGTAGAAACTACCATACTAAGGTACCTGTGTATACGGAAGTAGTGATGCCATCTCAACATCGATATGCGCACCTTTCTTCCATTTGTTTTGTCCAATTTATATAACTGCTGTCAGTTATTGATATTTGTTACTAAGATATGAAAACCTTATTTTCTACAATATGGAATTCTTGCAAAAATAGGGTCCTAGGTCAAATATAGCATATGCGGCCAATGTTGCAAATAGAGCCAATAGTAACATACATGAAAACTTTTAAATAATAATAATAATCATCTCTCTACGAAAATCGGTTGCTGAGAAATAGGGTCAACTATGACATTTTTTGAGTACATTTTGCATTAGAGCCCGGAGAA